ATTGGCGTTCAGGTCCATCACAGACTCGTCCTCTAACAGGACACAACCTTAACACCCTCTGACACCAGCTATCATTTAATTTTATTGGAAGAAAAAAAAAGTTTTGATTTGAAACTTTGAAGCACAGTCACATGACGAGCAGCAGCATCCTGTCCTCCTGGATTATTGTTGGATTCTAATATCAGTAAGTACCTGAATTTGGTGAAGGTTAATCAGATCAGTCCGTCTTTGATTGAGCTTAAATGCTTACTGTAGACTGAATATTTTGAAAACTATCATTTATTTTATGTGAAAAAATGAATAATCTGACTGCACAATGTCTACTTGTTTTTTTGTGTCTTTGAAGTCTTTAATCCAGGTGAAAGCTTCTCTCACTTACGCCAAATATCCAATGAGACCAAACTACATAAACATGGACCTGATATGTACAATTTTGATTTCTTGATTTCTATGTAAACTAATAAGTTAATATTGTTTGTTTTTGGATCAAACAAAGATGGCGTTTTCACCATCCTCGTCTTTTTTCCCAATCCTCCTCCTCCTTCTCGCCATCACAGTGGAGAGCAGACCATCGCCTCAGAAAGACAACAAACAGGTCTGTGAAGACAGCAATATATAAACTTCATTTCTACCAAATACTTCTTGAGCAGAAAATCACTATAAGTACATTTGAATGGGAAAAAAGTTTTACGTTGTACAGATTAACTGCACTGGCACAAACTGGCCACATGGGGCACCAGTAGAACAGTGAGCAACTGCAATACTACATGGCTAAAAAACAGAGAACGCTCAAGGCAAAATAAAACCTGAAATATTTGAAATTGCTGTGACTTTGAATATACGTACCTTTAGCTAACTTTTACAAAATCTGAGAGGTAAAGCTAATAGCACATACAACTCCCATGTCTTTTGGCATGCTTTGGTCACAATTGGTCACAAAGTCAGAAGAGCTGTAGATCAATAATTATGAGCTAAAAGGTGTGCAGCAGGGCTAACCTTATTACCTTTGGTGGATGGCTAGGAATTAGCCAAGATATAATTAACATTTAAAATCACAAAGAGCTGAAAGCAGCGTTCCGTAACTAGGTAAAACCTGGTCTGATAATAAATAGATAAAGATTAGTTGTTCAATTTAAGCCAACAACTCAACTACATATTTTCCCATGAACACATGAAAAATACTACAATTAGAATAGAACCTTCATTGTCATTGTACATACATACACAGACACATTTAAACCTGTGGCGTTCCATGTATTTCTCACCTGACCCTTCAGTTATTGTCCTGTCTGAACAAATAACATCTTTACCATCAATATAATGTAGAAATGTAGTGTAACCAGTCCAAGTATCCCAGATCCTAGAGCGAATGTGGCCATAACAACAGTATTAAAGCAACAAACCCACCAATCACAGTACGACCACAGCTGAGACTCCAATAACAACAAGTTACAAATACATTAAAAAGAAAACTGTATATCCTATTCACCAAAACTTCTGATTAGTTGTACACAGAGTCCATCATCCTCCCTGTCCTTGAGATGAGTTCAAGTACTCTGTTGTCCAGATTATCCGTACGTTCAACAATTCCTTTTTTATCTCCACCCCTTCTAATGCTGACAGTCCAGTCTGTCCTGTCGTATTTATGGAATACTTTTTAATTGGCTTCAGATTGTTAATGTCAGCTCAACAGTGGAAAAAAAACTAAAATTAAAAAAGAAAAAGAAAACTCTGCTACTCTTTTAAAAATTCCTGTGGGTTTTACGTTGAGTTAGGTTAGGTTTTTCCTAAGTAATATGTGTCAACACCCATTGTCATGAGATTGACATAGCGTAAAAAAACACAAACATAAAATTCAACATGAACGTAAGAGCCGCATTAAACCAGGCAAAGAGCCGCATGTGGCTCCTGAGCCGCAGGTTGGCCATGCCTGCAATACTGTGTGTTCTCCGACTATCCAATCAAATCAGTCAAATCGCCGACATAACTCCGGGCCAGCTAGAAGTCCTTGCTATGCCAGCTTGATAACAGCTCAAAATCTGATTGGTTAAAGAAACCTCTTCTTAATGCCATTCACTTTAGGCTCCCATCAGCCACACTACTGATTCTGAAGGCTTTAGGGCTGCCTTCTTTCAACCTGGCACGTTGTCGACAAATGCTAATGTCAAAATGAAACAAGAAAATTGAAATGTATAACTACAAAGGCCAATTATGGGGTATTAAGCCAATTAAGGCTTAATGGGTCAGATTGTGTGTAGCAGACGTTAGCAAAGCAGTGTTGTGTTTGTGCTTGTGTTTTCACTGTAGTGTGATGTCTGACCCGTTTGTTTAAACTACTATGATCTTTGGCATTTTGGTCAACCTCGAGTGACATCATCACTTTCTCTCTCTCTCTCTCTCTCTCTCTCTCCCTCTCCTCAGGTGTTAGATTCTCTTTTTGGCTCTCATCTCTCATCTCTCCTCTCAGCATCGTCCACCTTTAATGATGATGTCACAGAGGGCTCAGCAGACAACACCAGCCCCTCCTCCTCTGCAAACGTGGCTCAACGCCTCAATCAAGAACAGGGGTTGGCTGACCGACAGGGGGCAGTACCACGCTTCTTCCTTGACTTCCTGCGGCGTCAGACCAAGATGAGGAGGCGGAGCCGCAAGTCTATGGTGGGGGGAAGAGGATGCTTTGGGATGAAGATGGACCGCATCGGCTCCGTCAGTGGGCTAGGCTGTTAACTGAGTAAAGCATTTTCTCTCTGTGACGTCATTGGCACATAAACGTCCTTCTGTCCAATTGCTGACCTCAGGTTACCTTTGTAACCTGTAGAATTCCCTTTTTTCCCATGCACATGACGATGCTCGACTCCACCTGTGCCTTCATGATGATGTCATGACAGCAGGTGATGCAAACTCGACCCCACATGACCTCTGACCTATAGGACTTTACAGTCAGAGACATCATGTTGGAAATTAGTAATGAACGGAGACACAGGTAGAGATGGATACTACCAATGAACTCTGACCCCTGACTGTGCCACAGTCAGCAGTGAATGAATGGTGCATTCATGTATGTGTTTGTAGGTGTGTGTGTGTGTGTGTGTGTGTGTTTGTGTGTGAAGACCTGTTGCTTTTTACAACAGGAATAAAAACTAAATCTGAAATCAAAGTACTGTTTTGTGTTTATGAGTTCCCTCTACTGTAAAAACCTGTTCTAGTACCAGTACTGATTATATTCAGGTCCTGTGATCCCATTATCATAGAATGAGATTAAAGCCAGATGCTCACTCAAAATGTTATGTAAGGGTTAACAAATAAAGTTAGTTTGAGTAAAGTTAGATATGGTCAAATACTGTCATGTAGGAACATTTGGTTTACCTTGACAGAGCTAAAGTATTGTTTGAAAGCATGTCGTTGTAGTTGTTACAGGGCTTACCTATGGGGCAGATTTTTGTATACCATTACCATACCATTAAGTGTTATATTACAAGCGTTGTGTAACTTACCAGTGTCTTACAAAACACAATTTAAAGTTTAAAGTTATTAACATGTCAATGAAAATGGTTTACAATACTCAAGCAGACAAAAAGCCTTAAGTGAGTGCAGTCAATTGTTCTCAAAAATAATCAGATGAGCTCTTATTTCAAACAAGGTTGTTTTAATATAATGTTTATTATGCTAAGAAACACAGGTGGGGTACCTGAATATTTGTGTTAAAATTACTTTTACAGAAGATAAAGACAATAAAAAAACAGATCTTTATGTTTTAATTGGATTGTAATAACATGTCCGTACCAATGATAAAAACCCGTAAGTTGTTTATAAAAACCTTTTAGTAAAACATAACAGAAAATTAAAGAAATGTTTATTTCTGCCACAGGAGGGCAGACATGACAAACGATTTGTCACGTGACTTCGTCAGCTCCCTGTGTCAGTCTCTCCTAGCAAGTAGCTGGGTAGCTGTTAGCATTTATTCGAAAGCGAACACAACACGGAAACAAGCACCGTCTCGGACGTTCCTTGTTCCTAGGGAACACCCTGACTGGCCACGCTTCTCTCTATACATCCACTCTGCCTAATTGGTAACGGCTATCCGTGCCCCTGCTGCGCTCCTCTTCCGGTTGTCAAGCACGAAACCATGTCGGCGGTGCAGCGGATGAAAGTGGCTAACGAGCGGCACAGCAAGACGATCACACAGCGGGGACACGTCCAGAAAACATCGGTACTTGCAATCGTGTTTGCTAATCGTGCGTTTTAAAGGTCTATATGTTTATTGTCTTTTTACTTGGTTGTTTTTGTGACTTACTGGAGCTTTATGCGTAAGGGCAATGGAGCTAGCACTCCGTGAGCATTAGCATCAGTAGCTGTAGTAAAGAGCACTGGATGTGGTTTTGCTTAGCATTGCTAAAATGTCATAATTGTCCTGATGCTATTTATTAGTATTATTATAGTAATGGAAGATGTGATGCTCGGTGACACGTAGCTGGTGTTGTGTTGTGGAATATTAATGTGAGTATATTTGATTGACATTGGATAGTACAACATTGTTGTGAGTGCCTCAAACACATGGACATACTGTCAGTAACGTATCAAATCACATATCACGACACCAATGGAATACAGTGACACATTTCACTGTGAGTCCATGTCATAAAGTTTATTTATTATCTTGTTGAGTTACGTGTAGAGGTGAAACTCTGCCTAAAACACGAAAGTTTGTGAATGGGGTGACATTATTGGTGCATTGACATTGTGACGAAAGTTGAACTCCCATTTGTTTACATCTTGTTATATAAAATGTTCAGAAAGATAATTTCTCCTCACCAACATACAGTCCAGTACAGGTTCCAACTGGTTAAGGTTCTACTCAATCACAGCATTGACATTAAGTTATCATGTAATAGTGATTTTTTTTTTTTTTTTTTTTTGTTATAGCGGCCTGTGAGCGATGACAAGTCTCCGGTGGGTCCATGGCTGCTGGCCCTTTTCATCTTTGTGGTTTGTGGATCAGGTGAGATTCAATTCTGCTCTGTCCCGACTTTAAGGTTGCTAGTTCATAGGAATTCCTCAACTTATTTTTTTAAAGTCTATTCAATAATTTATGTAAATGTAAATAAAATGTTAAATTATTGATAAATTATTATTTTAATGATTTTTTTTCAAAAACAAGCAAGTCAGTTCTGTTGGTGTTTTTAATTTTTTTCTGTTTTATTTTTCCCACAAATTTCAGCCATTTTTCAGTTCATCCAGAGCATCAGGCAGGGCATGTGATGACCGTTGACCTGGGCTCAGCCGTGTCCTTGAAGATGCCACTCACACACACACACACACCTGTTCCTGTGGAGTTTTTAAAATGGGCTTATTTTTCTTCCTTCTCCATCTTGTCTCTCTCACTAATGTTTTTTTACTTCCTAATGATGAATATGATCAGATGGTTATTGATTGATAGATTGATTAATTGCTGTAAGCTGTTCAAGTCTTAGGTCTGGTGTGGTTGTCCATCTGATAAGGGCGCTGGTCTGTGAGCACTGAGGATCTGTTGTGTGACAGGTCAGGTCATGTGACATCCTCACATGGCCATATATTGTTATTGATGAGATCAGTGTCAGTCTGGTTTACTGTGAATTTATTTATTACAAGATGTTGTCCACATCTCTGATCTGTCACATGACGTTACATGATCCTGACGAAAGGGCTTTTAATGTGAAAATCCCTTCAGGAAGAGACTAATCAGCTGCAGCTCAGGACTGGAAGGATCCTAGTGAGTGATTTTTCTGCTTCCTGTTTGTACTGAAAAAAAGTGGTAGGTGTTCAGGAAAGAGATTTCAGAACTGACTACAGATACACCTGTTCACAGCTCAGCGCCTCCTCCTGGACAACCACCTCTGCTTTTATACAAAATAAACTTGGATATTTTCTCTACTTTCACCTGTGTCACACACTCTGTTCAAATGTAAAGAGGGGTTTTTTTTCTGTGCAAGGTTGGTCACAACCTTATCCCTTGGTTTTAACTAGCTTGAAGCTTGGATTCAAACCACCCAGTTTCAGGGTCGGCCTGTTGATGTAATGGGGTGGTCCATTATCTGTGACACACTTTTGGAACTTGGTGCTAACTCATCCCAGTTTAAACTCCACAGCCCACTTACTGGGCCAAGTCCAGGAACCAACAGGTTTTTTATAAAATAAATAATCACCAAATGTTTTATACATGTGTGACAAAGAATTTAATAAAGTATGCTTGGGATAAGGTGGTAAAAGAAATGGTTTGGTTCAATACACTACGTGTCACGGTTCTGTATTTTTTTTTTCAATACAAGAAAGACATTTCAATTGCATTTTTTAACTAGTAGTTGGAAACATTTTTTCCAACTTAAAAGCAAAGTTTTTTATTTAAATTAAACATCTGGTGCAGCTGTCCCCTTCTCTACTGTGCATACTTAAGTTACAACCATATAAAACAGCATCTTGTACAAATGATAAGATAAATGCATCTGATAAGTGTATATTTAAAGACAATAGCTCACTAAATAATGAAAAGCTAGCTTATTCAGAAATAATATATAGCGATATCAAAACAAAATCCTCAGTAAACAGGACCTATCGAGTGTTCCTTATCAAAGAGTGGACCACCTTTGTAAGGTGGCATGATGCCCAGACACCTTGAAGACTGTTTCCGGGCAGCGTGCACAACTTGTATTTTCCAGTCGTGCGCTGCAGTTGTGTTCCTGTCATTTAGTTATATGAAAAATAATCATTACACATCATTGAACATTTATGAATTGTAATTTCATTTTCCTTTGTTGAATCACAGTGAATTTCGCGCATTAGCCATGTTGCTAAGATACCAAATGCGGTATCACTTTGTTGTGCAGTATGTCTTTGGCTCATAATTGGTCTAGTAATCTTAATTTAAAAAAAAAGTATGTATCGCTTATTGCTAGCAGATAGAAAAGCATTGATCCTTGCCTTGAGCAGTTTCTTGGAGTGTAATTCCACATGTTTGAAGACGGTCTTCACAAAACAGGAATATTCAGGAATATATGTTTTGCTTGTATTTTGTACGTTTACTAAATTGTTGATTTTGCGTATGAAATTGTTTGATACATTCAATAGCACTGCCTAGTTATTAGTATTATTATTATGTCACAATAACATAAATATTATAATATATACAGTATTATGTCACCCCCTCAAACCACAATCCGTTACCACGCAGTGACGTCAGGGCCGAGAAGATGGCGACTGTGCAGAAGGCGGAAGGTAAAGGAGCTTTAACTGTGTTTTCAACACCGTATCGTAACCGTTCTGTCAGCTGGTAAAATGTGAACGTTGTCTCTTGGGGTTTGCAACCTTCCACTGCGACGTGCTGATGTGAAGTTTTGTCCCTGAGTGAAAAGGCAAGTAGCTCGGCACCCGCGGCTCGTAAATCTCCGCTGTTTCGGAGCTACCCTTAACAGCTAACGCTTAGCCAGTTATCGCGATGGCTAGACGGGCAAACCTTGGAGTTAATTCGTAATACCCATGAGAGATATTTTGCACTCATGTTCATATTAGTTACAATGAACGGCAGCCGTTAAGTTAAAGGCGTGTCCTTAAATTGAAAACCAGGTCGGTGTCGGTGGGTATTTGCTCAAGCTGCGGGGGCAGGCGATAAGCTCGGTCAGTGATGCCGGGCAGTGGCATCACGAGGCTGACGATGCTGTCAGGAAAGTTAGTGGTCTGAAGTGGGCCTTCGGAGAAATATTATGTGGGTGGATATGGACAGAAGTCTGGTGTTTCATTCTTGATTTTGTCCATCAGTGTGCGAATTAAACATCACTAGCACGCGTTTCTGTAAACGGCTATGTTTTTGGGCCAAGTCGACCACAAAAAAGTTACAGATTAATGTTTATATGGATGATAGGAATGTTGATGAGCCTGTGTGGGTGCTGACCAGTTGTCAGTGGTGTGTTAATTGACGTCAGGTCTGCAGGTTTTTCTCCGTAAAACACGCACACAGTGTCTCCATTTAAAGCATGTGCAAATTCAGTTGTTGCTAGGCAACAGGAAGAAATTTGAGTAGATGATGTTGAAGATGCGTGTGTGTGTTTGTCTCCTGTTGCACACCTTGTTTTTTCTCACTGGTGAGCCTACTGACCAGCTTTGCTTCTCTATGTTACTGTGTGTGCGTGGGTGGGGGCGTGTGTTTATGTTTATATGGTTGTCTGTGTGTATAGCAGGGCAGAGCTGGCCAGCGTGTGCTGTGTAGGAATCATCTTGCATGGACCTGTCACCATGAGCAACAAGGAGATGGTTTCCCCAGAGACAGGTCAGTCCTGTTTACCTGTTTGTTTGTCTGATGTCATCAAGTCAAACACAGACCTATACACACACTCACTGCATCCACACCCCTCCAGCTCCATTGTCTAGTCACTGCCCTTCGTTGGTGATGTCAGCTATGAGGTCTGGGATACATTTTTGTGCTGCAATCAAAAAAAAAAAAATCCTAGACATTACTGCCAATTACTATTTCTGTTCTGCATTTTAATAAACTTAAGGACACCATCTTCCTTTGGTTGCTCCCCAGTGCTCTTGTTTCTTATGCAGTGGGTTCTTTTTGAAACCTGGATCTAAGGACAATTTCACACTGGAGCTGTTTGGTTGGTTATCAGACCATAGTTTGTTTCCTTTGTTTTTGTGGGCTATTAGTGGTGGCTCCTGATAAAAGGGACAAGCTGATAGTGATCCTTTTTTCTTCGTCAGACCAGGGTTTGGTTCTGTTGATTCTGCATTGTTTTAGCAGTTGTAAAAGTTGATCCAAACTCTGACCAACCAAATATACTGTCTACCTAAGAGAGTTCATGACATGGAGCACATTTAAAATGTAAAATCAAAGAAGCAAAGATGAAGAAAGTGAAAGTTGAACATTGCCTGGTGGCTGATATGGAGTCGTGAGTAGTTCCAGGCTCTTATTGATTTATGGTTAGAGGACTGTATCTTGCAGTTGCTTTTGGCTGAAGATGATAGATTGATGGAGTTTCAGTCCGAGTTAATTGGTTAGTCAAGTTTTCTTATTCCTAATGCTTTTTTTCCCGCAACTTCTGGGTTGCCCGCCCCCACTTTGGCAAACACTATTGTTATCTAAGCTGACATCGAGACATCACTGTTGCTGGTTTGCCAGAAAACAGAGAACTGGAATGAGGCATTGAAATACTTCATTTATTTTTACACAGATAACTAATTGATCAAAGGTAATGCTTTGAAGTCCCAGCCCCAACCATACCACAACTTACTCGTGTTGCTGATATGTTACGTTGACTTGTCTGACAGCAACTGAGTTCAACGTCAACTGTCTTATGTACAGAAAACAAAGGACAGAGGAAGGTGTTCCTTCCTAACAAGCTGCTAGAGTGTCTCCCTCGCTCCACCACTCTACCCAACGAGCGTCTGCGATGGAACACTAACGAGGTGAGAAGAATTGCATTTCAGTCTGGGTCTCATGAATTAGTTTTCCCTGACTGTAAGGGACGTCATGCGACGCTCAGGCTGTCTCCCTGATGTTGTCTTTGTGATTTCAGGAGATTGCCTCTTACCTGATATCATTTGACAGACACGAGGAGTGGCTGTCCTGCACATTAAAGACCAGGTATGGACCATCAATCTAGATAATGCTCTAGAGCACGTGTCAAACTCAAGGCCCGGGGGCCAAATGCGGCCTGCCAAGCCATTTTGTGTGACCCGTGGGAGCTTAAAAAGCATTTAGCTAAGTCCATGCAGCAGAGTTTCTAAACCTAAGTTATTAAAAGTTTTTATGTACTAGTCTGTTATGGAGTAGTTACTTCTATACCAGTGGTCTCCAACCAAGGACTGGTCAGTCAGTACCACCTGTTACTACAGACTGGTACCAAGGTGCTGAGCATTGAAGGATCATTACATTTTCAAAATAAAACGACTCTGTTCTGTTTGTATCAGAGTCTGAATGACCTATTATTTTAAAATATGAACAGATTATCTTTAAATAAATAAAGTAAATGGATATGATGGATTTTTTTGAATGAAGTTAATAAGTAAAGACATTTTCTCACTGTGTCGCACTGCGGCCCAGTATCAAATGACCGTTGGACCGGTACTGGTCCACGGGCCAGGGGTTGGGGACCCCTGATCTATACACTCTTACGGCCCTTCAAGGAGAACTGTATTGATGATGTGGCCCCCAGTGAACATGAGTTTGACACCGCTGGTCTGGAGAGTCAAAATTCTGAAAATCAGCAAGGGGAAATAATTTGACAGGACTCAGTCGACCAGAGGTCTGTGTGTCAGTTTTTCATGTCAAACTAAATCTCCGCTCACTGCAGGTGATGGAGTGAGTGTGTCATACTAAACATTGAAGACTGTTGTGTTGGAATGCATTTCTGTGGTACACTAACAACAACAATAACAAACTGTGAATGCTGCACTTATTGATTGGTCTGAATGTGTTTATGGCTCCTGGTAAATTCTATTTGCAGCGTCGTTCTTGTCTGTGACTTTTCACTGATTTCAGACCGTGAGGTTTTCAACCCTGAAATTGACTTATTTTACTAGTGGCCATCAAGGACACAAGAGTGGATGCTGGTGCCTTTAGGCCATGTTCAAACACATCATTTAAACCATAATCTCAATAACAGGCAGCTCCTCTGGTGGTCAGTGACCACAAACTTACCTGTGTGTGTTTGTGTGTCAGGCCGAAGAATGGAAGCATCATCTTGTACAACAGGAAGAAGGTGAAGTACAGGAAGGATGGTTACTGCTGGAAGAAAAGGAAGGATGGGAAGACGACAAGAGAGGACCACATGAAGCTGAAGGTCCAGGGCATGGAGGTCTGCAGCACTCTTTTTGTTTATCTCTGATAATGTAGACTGCGTCTTCATTCTTCCAACCAATTAATTCAGGTCTATTAATGAGGCCCGTTTTTATTTGAAGATATTTCTGGGATAACTTGTAGTTTTTAAACCATTTTGATAGCTAACGTTTATGTTTCACTATTAGCAATTATCAGATATCCTTTTATCCTTTTTTATCAGATTTTTATCAGATTATCCTTTTATCATTTTGTTCTGTATTGTTTTGATGATCATTTAACTGCAATTGGGTTGGATTTCAAACACTGTTGGCGATTTTGCTGCACTTTTATCTACTCTGTTTTTTACTGAAGCTAATTTGTCCAATTTAATTGCTGACCATTTTGTGCCCACTTGTGTTTTTTTTTTTTTGTGGCTAAGGGGAGCATTGTTTGTTTATTTTTCAAGAGCAGTGATATTTGTCATGTTTTAGCTGACAACTGAATTTTGATGTTTTGGCACTCTATTGTGCTAATTGGTGCTAAGACATGTCTGCTATTTCAGTGCCTTTATGGTTGCTACGTCCATTCCTCCATTGTGCCCACATTCCACAGACGATGCTACTGGCTGCTGCAGGTACACACTGTCCTTCACCTCAGGCTCTGAAGCCTAACTTTTTATTACACAACATGCTAACACAAAGCTAATGTTCAGCTGAGACCTCAAATCAAATCGGAGCAGGGCTGGATTTTTACCATACCCAGTGGAACAACAAGATGTGTGTCTGTGTCCAACAGAACCCAGACATTGTGCTGGTGCACTACCTGAATGTGCCGTCCCTGGAGGATTCTGGGAAATGCAGTCCACTTCTGTGTGCGGTATCTGACCGCCATGACAGTGTCAGATGGAGCCGGGATGACCTGCTGAGTCAGCTGAAGCCCATGTGTAAGAGCAGCTCCTCAGTGTTTCTGTGTGTCTTTGTGTGTCTGGTTGTGTGTGACACATCCTTCCTGTCTCTCAGTCCACAGTATGAAGTGTTCGCTCGGAACGGGAGATTTTAGCATCGAGGAGTTGGTGCAGCACATTTTGGAGCGTCAGAGACCCAAACCACAGCCGCGCACACACACATGTCTCTGTAACACCGCCCAAGGTAACCAGCAGAGACATAATATCACTGTGACATCATCATTATGTATCATGTTGACGTCTGGGTCTTTATGTAGTTTCACCAGGAGTCAACATTCCTCACCGCTGCAACAGCACCAAACACCGCATTATTTCGCCCAAACTGCCCGCTGCTGCCGCAGCCGCCTGCACACCCTCACCATCTCCACTGGCAGCAGAGGCGGGGGAGGCAGGAAGGGCAGGAGGACCAGGAGAAGCCAAACTTCCCCACCTGCAGGCTCAGAGCAGCCCCGCCTCCTCACCCTCTTCAATGTGAGTCAGCTCTTTGGCTGCGCCCCCTAGGTTTTTGACTTGAATGAATTAGTGTTTTGTTACTTATACACAATAATTTTGAATTACTTTACTTTTAGCTTAAGCTTTTATGCTACATATTTTGGGCAACTTTTAGTTATTTCTCAGCTAGACACGTTTTTAATAATGATTCTTTAAGCTGCCATTTACTCTTTTTGTTCTAATGTTTTTAGTTTTGAGATTTGATTTCAGACGCTCCTGTGCTTTTTTTTTGTTAAAGACAACATTTAATTATTTGAAGATTTGAATTTTGTCTTTATAAATCAAATAAGTTCAGTAAAGGTTTGTGTGGTCCATAGTTGAACACACTTGTGGCTAAATATTGATTAGCATTAAACTAGACTAATTTAAAAATGTTTTCATGTGAATGAAAGTAACTGTTACGTTGACCAATATTTGCTCTAATAAAAATGTTTACCATCTATTCCTCCAGCTCCGCCTCTTCGCCCCCCCGACCCCACAGAGCCCCCACGATCGCTGTGAGCAGTCATAACAACAGTTTCTACGGTGACCATCGTCCCAGCCTGACTACGGTGGCGCTGCCCCAGAACGCAGTCATAGTAATGGCAACGACCACCGCCATCCCCGGCGGAAGAGGGGTGGGGTCAGCAGGAGGTGCAGTCAGAGCAGAGGAGGTGGCAGCGTCTCAGAGGAGGAGCCTGTCACTCACTCATTCGGGCCAGTTGCTGCTCTCGTCCACCCTCCCTCCAGCTGCCCTGCAGGCGTCAGGTGTGGCCAGCTGCCCCTCCCCTCCTACTTCTGCCTCACCCAACACATCCTCCTCTTCCTCCCTCCCTCCTGCTGCCACTGTCCGGGCCCCTGGTGTCACCACCCTCTCTCTCACCCTCCTCCCACCTCCAGTTATTGGAAGCCTTCTCCTTACCCCGTCTTCATCGTCTTCCTGTTCCTCCTCCTCTTCGTCATCTTCCATTTCTTCGTCCACAAGCCGCTCACCTCCCCCTCCTGCAGCCAGCTCACCACCATCTCCCCCCACCTCCTCTCCATCACCACCTCTACCCACCTTTGACCCAGACTCTTTCCTAAACTCACCCAAACAGGGTCAGACATACGGTGGACCCCTTCCTCCTTTAACTTCTATCTCCTCCACCTCCACTACTTCTCCGCCAACTCCTCCATCCCTCGCACTCTCCCTCTCACCCACCCTCACCCCTCCCTCCTCAGTTTCACCTCCTTCTTCCCTCTCTTCCTCTTCCTCCTGTGACGTAGAGAGACGGGACTCTGCCTCCTCTTCCTCCCCTCTGTCGTCCTCCCTTCCGCCATCTATCTCCCTGTCATTGTCTCCCACCTCCACAGTGGCCCCACCTCTCCTCCCCCTGTGCCTGGAGTTAGGAGGTTTGGGGGAGAATGACATGGGGAGGCAAGAGTGTGAGAAAGCCAGCAGGGCCGAAGAAATTAGGGAGAGGCGGGGAGGTGATGATGATGAGGAGGATGATGAAGGTCAAGCTCCTCCCACCAAGCTGGCGCTGTTGCAGGTGAGAGTGATGTGGTGACCACAAATGGTTCCTTTTAAGGCTAACTGTCTTCCACCAGAGTCAAGAACGGTGGTTTCTACTGAAGTTCTCTTTGGTTGTGTCTGGTTCAAGTTCAAGCCACTGGAAATATTAGCTTTACAGCTTCCAGTTTTTATTCGTTCAAAATAATGTGAAAAAGTGGAGTCATCTTATAACCTGGGTCTAACCGTTGACACATGCTGATAGTTGTCTCTGGTGGTATCACGACTGCAACAGCAGAGGGCGCCATCAATTTGTAAAACCAAAGCCCGTAATGTGACTGTGTTTATTTGTCAATCACAGCAGAGTGTAGTTCTGACAGTTTGCATCCGAGTTGCAGTGTCGCAAAACCTTTAAATGAAAAATGTGTCATTACAGTGGTGTTTTTGCTTTTAAACTGTTTATTGCAATATTGTGTTTTTTTCCTCGTCAAACTGCTGATCAATTGATCTCACTGTTTGGTTAATAAATAACTAGTACAGTGGACCTGAGAGTCTAATCCGTTCCACAACAGCACTCGTGTCTCAATCAACTTGTATCTAGAGCGGATTTTCCCCATTAAAAAAAACTAAAAACTAATTAATTCATTACAGCCCCCCAGAAATATACTCTTTTATTTTATTTTATTTTATTTTATTAAACACTAAAAGTATCACAAGGAAAATCTTGCAGTAGTTGCATACGGGTAGCAATACTCGTATTCCAGGAAGCTCGTATCTCAGGGGTCCACTGTATTTACATTTGAAATTTTGCTATGTTTCTTAGTTCATTTAAATTTAGGAATTGCATTTAAAACGGAGATCTTAGTGATTGTATTTATAGTGGTGGCAGTGGTGGCTTAGTGGTTCAGGAAGCAAACTTGGGGCCAGAAGGTTTCAGGTTCTAGTCCACCATCTGCCAAGTTCCCACTGAGGTGCTCTGTCATGGCTCCGTCTCCACTCACTGCTCCTGGTTCTTAAAGCTGCCACTGTTCACTGTGGTGATGGGTTAAAAACAGAGGTCACATTTGGTTGTGTGCAGTGGTGAGCTGTGTCACACTGACAGGGAGTTGACTTTCACTTTCATTAAATGAGGTTGTCATCTTATAATTAGGGACCTCCTATATTTGGATTAATATGTTATGTGGTGTGGTGTCCAACTGCTACTTTATTTTAAATCTGCACAGACATTCTGAATGGAATTGTGTTGTGAAATGTTTGCTAAATTTTTCAATTTAAAAAAAAAAAACAACAACTAATGTTTGATTTCCTGTTCTGCAGCCGAGCCGCGTCCCCTCTTCCTTGTCACCACGGCAAACAGGAAATGGTTCTTCTTCGTTGCTCCTCGTTTGCCAAGAAACTCCCCCTACAAACAATCAGACACAGCAACATACTGATGCTCAGCCTCCATTGGTCCTGACACAGCCCTACACTCAGCAGACAATGGCTGAAGTCCCACCTCCAAATAACATTTCCCATCAGCCCCTGCTACAGCAGATGTCCATTTTCACTCAACCAAAGTCTACAACAGATCTCGTCCCTTTGGCTCCACCCAATTTAGCCCCACCTCCTGTCCAGGTGAAGGAGGAGAGCAGGCACGAGCGTGAGGACGACTCCATTGACATGGCTCTTGATGAAGACGATGCTGTGGCGTCCTGTGAGCAGGCAGAGGAGGAGCTGGACATCTCCTTTGACAGCCAGTTCCCTGACCTCATCTCAGAACTCATCACTGAGGAGGCCAATCCTGTGACAGCTCACCCGCCAGCATCTGCTGCCACCACCACTGCACCAACAACAGCGATGTTCCCAGCTGTAGTGCGATACGTGGTGCCCCCACAACCCTCGCCTTCGTCCTCCTTCCTGCCCTTCCCACATCCCCTGCCCTCCTCTTCCTCCACCCGCCCGGCCTCCATCACCGACTTCTCCCCAGAGTGGTCATACCCCGAGGTAATCAGTACTTGCGTAATATTTTATGTATGTGTATATATGTAATGACTTTTTACCCTGATACATTGTTAAAATAACTATCAGTAAAGATTACACTAGTTTATTAAATACCTTCAACACCTAACATGTTAAGTGTTAATGACAACTGTTTGATTTCAAAGTACCGTTTCTGCTCTTCCACAAGAGGGCAGCAGGGCCTAAGTCAGCATTTTCTTGTTTGTGTCCAGGGTGGTGTGAAGGTGCTGATCACAGGGCCGTGGAACGAGCAGTCAGGTCGGTACGCATGTGTTTTTGACCAGAGTTCCGTCCCCGCCTCTTTGATCCAGCCTGGAGTCCTGCGCTGCTATTGCCCTGGTAATTTTCAAAATAAAAGTCTGACTTTCTCCCTCCTTATTTAAATGTCATACCAGTGGAGTTTTCATAAACAACCCTCAGCATCTGTCCCTGCACTGCACAGTGTTCAAAGTAAAAGTCTGTGTTTACTATGCTGTTTTTAATACGTACTATTCAACTTGCAACTCTATTTTTTTCTCCTCCAGCACACGAGGCCGGTCTGGTGTGTCTACAGGTTCTGGAGTCTGGAGGTTCTGTTTCTTCTTCAGTGCTGTTTGAGTACAGAGCACGGAACGCCAGCTCCCTGCCCAGCTCCCAGCTAGACTGGCTCTCACTGGATGGTCAGTTAAGTCCACTAATGTTGGCTTTAAAGATCCAAACAGACTCTAAAGGTGCACTCACACTAATGCCAGTGTACCACACCCAAGCATGTACGCCCCCACTCCGGATTCTTTGGCTAGTGCGAGTACATGTGCAACTCCCCTGCTACAGTTGGTAGTGGTGGGTCAAAGGGTAGAACACTGGGCCACGCCGGCACAGATGATGCACACACGTTCAGTACGTCTGCTGCTGTTTCTGCAAAAATATGTGAATCACAGCTTAGCACCGACAATAAATCAAGACGTTAGCGATGGCTGACTGTTTTGAATAGAATTCACAAAGCAGCCATTGCAGACGTTGTTGTCAGATTCACTCTAGATAGGGCTGCTTAAACTTCATATAGACAAAGGTCGCTGACGTATGTGTCAGGCAACCGGGCTTGAATTTGGGGTAATGTGAGTGCAGGCCAAAGGGGGACAGAGGAGGTGGGGTATTTGTGCTGCAGCGCAGTACGGAGCAACTGGCCCTGGTGTGAGAGCACCGTGAGTGTCAAGCTGCAGCCCTCTGTTCATAACGTCATAGAGAAAGTTGTTGATTTTTACGTTGTCTTTGCTGGTGTACGCTGAAGTAGTTTTGGAGACGTGCAATAATTTCCCTGTTAGCCGCACATGCTTATTATACTTTCAACATAGCTGTAACTGAATAAATATAAGGGTTTACCATACTGCCCTCTTTGTGTATGTGCAGTGTTACGCTGTTGCCTCCCCCTTCTCTCAGTCTATCTCTCCTTTCTCTCTCTGTTTATCTTTTCCCTTCTGTCCTCTCCCTCGACCCTTTTCTCTCTCGGCCCCCTGCCTTCTATGTCTCTGTCTCTCTCTGTGATTGATGGCACAGAGCTGTTTTCCACTGTCATCACCTGAAAACACACACACACACACACACTCATCAGCCACTGCTGCTATTTCTGTGTGTGACAGAAGCTGTTTGAACTTCACACACACACACACACACACACACACACAGGGAGTGTAGTGCTTCCAGGGCTCTGTCTTAATATGATAGTTAAACTTCTGCTCAAAGAAGAATGAATTGATAAATATGAACATGGGCTTCAGGGGCAGATGAAGATGATGTCGCTTCATGGGGATTTCAGCCACTGGAAAGATGGAGGCTGCAGCTTCAGATTTCCACCAACATATTATTCTGGTTTTTGTTGCCATATCTCAGTGTTTACACCCTGGTGGTTTTTAACTGTGGTTCTGTGAAAGAAATTAGCTGCTGTTGTCTTCCAGCTCATCTTCGTCCCTGTCTCTCCTCAGTCCTAGAGAGAGTGAAGACCTGTCTGTCATTAGGGCCCAGAGGAGGAGGGGGTGGGGAGTGTGGTGGGGAAGTGGGCAGACTAAGTTCCAGGAATGTCACAGATAGTTGAGACGCTCCATCAGCCACCGATCCCTGCACTTACTCATAGTGGATGTGTAACTGCTGTGTTAGGACAGACCGACACAGACCACAGAACTAACACAACACTTTGTGTCTCTGTCTGTCTGTCTTTCTGTCTGTCTCATGTTCACTCTCTCCCTCTTTACTGTTGACTTTTGATCCTGGCACGCTCCTTCAGTCTGCTCCCTCCCTCTGTGTGTGTGTGTGTGTGTGTTTGTGTGTGTGTGTGTGTGCGCGTGTGCGCACTAAATCTCCCGGCTCGTCAGCACACTTTAAGCTCGTGTGTTAACTTTTCCCATGACATCATAACCTACCCAAAATGCTCCTCACCTGTGCTCAGCTGCTCTGACAGACAGAGAGTGATTGGGACGGGGTAGAGAGAGGGAGACATCTGAGCGCAGAGGGAAGATGGAGGAACAGAAGAGGCAGGGTGGTGTCGGTAGGACCATGAGTGTTGATTGTCGCTGTCATAGGATGTCATGGTTCCCATGGTAACTGTCTACAGCTGAAAGTAAATATTTGAAGAAGCTTGTTTTTCTGCTGACTGGTGGATTGTTCTGTTTTTTGATTGGCTCATTGTTTTACTTTGAACAGAGCTCTTGGATTGTTTGACTGACTGGTTATTTGACACCTTTAATGATCAAATCTAGATTTAAATTCAAAAACATGTAAAGTGACTAATGCATGGGAATACAGTGTGTTTGTTTGCAACATTCAGCCAAGGTTAGTGTTGGAGAATTAATCCGAGGATACACTCAGAAGGAGGAGGAGAAAGAGGAGGTGGAAGCCCTCCAGTTTGATAAGGCTGGCTCCTCTTCTGAAGAAGCAGCTGTGCATTGTTTGTTTTTTTTCAGCTATCTGTGCATCATCTGCCCCTGTGGAGGTCTCTCTGCTGGTCTGTGTCTTTGTCTTCCCTGGAGTTCTCTCTCTTTGCTCTTTGACACAGACCAGCACTAGCACTAATCCAGTTTGGCTCTGGTTTGGTTGCAGCTCTGGCGTTCTCTCAAGATTTATTACACAGGAAGCAGACTTTAGTTCACAAATCAAATTATAAACTGCTTCACACCCTCTTCATTTTTGTTATTCACAAGGAATATTTGACTGACTCTGACTCTGTCGGTTATTGTTATTGAGGGTTTGATTTCTCTGTGCAGACAATCAGTTCAGGATGTCCATACTGGAACGTCTGGAACAGATGGAACGCCGAATGGCAGAGATGGCTGCTCGTGACAACAACCGCCAACACCAACAACATTATCAACAGCATGGCAACCGGCTGGCATCACTCCCTCCACCAGCCCAACCAGAGGACCATGAGCAGGTTAGAATGATGAGGTGGAAACTGAAGGAGGTTCAGTCAGTGCTAACAACAGGCTGATCAGCCAGTGACCTGGATTAACCTGGAACAGCAGATTGGTGTTGAGTTGGTGAGCTAGACAGAGAAACAAGCAGGGAGATGGGTCTAATGAACTGGGCTAGAAAGGTACAATTAATGAACCTGAATTTAAAAGAAAATAAACTAAAGCTCTCTCTCTCCCTTTGACTCTCTCTCTCTCTTTCTCTTTTTCACTCTCACTCTCCTTTTCTCTTCCTTTTACTCTCTTTCTATGACTCTTCAACTTAATCCTTCTGCTTACAAAGTAAACCCCTCCTCTTTGGCTGTCTCCCTCTCTCTATTTCTCTCTCCTTCCCTCTGTCGCTCTCTATCTCTATTCTTTCCTCGTCCCTCTCTGACGTCATGGAGAATTTGGCAGATCAAGTCCTAGGGCTAAAATAGATCCCCACCACCTCACACAGACACACACAGTTGACCTTAACTCAGACATTGACAGCTCCATCAGTGTTCCACTGTAAGCCATTCAAACTGGTTGATGACCAATCATGATAATACCCACAATAACATTTGATCTGACAGAGGAATGTTTCTGAGACCATGTCAATGTTAACCCAAACGAATGAGAGTGAATGTCTTCACAAAAACGTTCTGTGTGTGTGTGTGACTCCATTCTCCCAGTGGTTTGAGCGCAGAATTGTAGGCGTGTGTGAGCGGATGATGAGGGTTGGACGGTGGGGAGGAGGAGGAGGAGGAGGAGCAGGAGGTGAAAGAGAAGAAGTAGGAGGAGGTGAGAGACTTCAGCACTCTGTTCGTCATCGTGGAATGACACTGCTCCACCTGGCTGCTGCACAAGGATACACACATCTGATACAAACGCTGATCTACTGGAGGTAAACACATGTGTACACACACAGAGACACACATCGAGGTATACACCTGATACTGCAAATACACAAGCCTACTCAAAGTACACTTAACACATACTTGAAACACACTTTGATTTGACTGCAGGTACACACACAGTGGTTGATCAGTTCATTCGTTGCAGGAGTATAAATGCAGACTCTCTGGATCTGGAACAGGAAGTGGACCCTTTGAACGTGGACCACTTCTCCTGCACCCCTCTGGTAACACACTGCAGTTATTACTCACAATGTTATGTTGTTATTACTCACAATGTTATACAACATACACGGGAATGTAGGTATGTTGTCTGTGTTTCAGATGTGGGCCTGTGCTTTAGGCCACCAGAGGGCAGCAGAGCTCCTGTACGGTTGGAACAGCCTGGCGCTAGGAATCCCTGATTCCCTAGGCCGGCTGCCACTGGCGGTCGCTCGCTCTCGCGGACACACACGGCTAGCTTCAGCACTAGAGGGGCTGCATGTGAATCACCCCACTTCACAGACCACGCCCCCTAGTGACACGCAAACATTGTCCACGGACGCACAAACGCCAGCTACGCCACAACCACAGCTTCCACTGTCTCCTCTGTCTACAAGTCCTGACACAGGTGAAGCACCGCACCAACAAAAGTTCACATGACCGTGATCGACTCTCTCATCTGAACCATCTTTGTTCTCCCCCTTTAGGTCTCAGCTCCTCCAGCAGCATCCCCTCTCCCAGTGACCCCTCCTCTCCTTCACCCAGCTCTGCCTATTCCAGTGGGCCCACCCCCATGGATACCTCCCCTTCTTCCCCATCTTCTAATTCCTCACCCTCCTCGTCTCCACCCTCTGCCTCCTCATTTCCTTCAGTATCCATGTGGGGGGAGGAGCCTAACACCGGCTTCAGCTCAGGTAACAGGTGACGTCTTGGTTGTGCATTGATTGACAAATTGTTAATTTGTAGATTAAAATGATTTTGGTTACAGGTGTAAACGCTGGAAGTTCCAGAGAGTTTCCGTTGTACCTCATGGACTACGAGAGTGCCTCCCCCTGCCACGCACACATCTACACACACACAGCATCAACCAGTGGACGGCGGTTGCACACAACCAGCTCAACGGTGACACTGGAGGAGGAGCTGCTCAGCTACAGCGAGAACGCAGAGAACGAAGGCGAAGAGGAGGAGTATCTGGAAGAGGAGGTGTTACAGGTATGGAAACACTCACTGGTGTCACAACATTCATATCGAGGTGTAGCGCCACCTACTGGTTTTTGTTAACAGTGCTTATTCAGAGCTCTAAAGTCAGACTTCAGTTTGAGTTTAGGAGCAACCTTCTCTAAATCCAGCCTCATCCTAGATGTTTAATGTCAGAAGTTTGTCTAACTGTGATCAGTACTCTTGTTTTCAACAGACATGTCCATCAGCTGTGTTATAATGGTCATGTATTAAATGAACCTCAGGTCTCAGAGATCTCAGATTGGGCACCAGAACATATTTATCATGTGCTGTCCTGTCATTAACTTCCAGGTTATCTCACTGGTTTCCTTTCAAAGGTAAATTGTTTTGAAGGAACTTCTGGAACTAACAAAACACTAGGTCATAACACAAGGATAATGTTGAGAACAAACCTGTGGCTTCAATCCGGGGATAAAGACAAATACAAAAGATCTGAATCTTTTTGAATAAACATTAATGACAAAAAGGGAAGGAAACCAAAGAAAATAACTATCTTCTGAAAGTCAGCGCAGGTTTGAGGGGCTAAACCTGAGGACACTCACATGTCGACCTTTCCTGGTCTGCAGGTTGACATGGCGGTGCTCGCAGAGCAAATCATTGAGGCCACACCTGAGCGAATCAAGCAGGAGGACTTTCCCAGGGGGGCAGAGTCACCGCTCAGGGAGAGACGAGACAATCCCGCCATTCAAGACACCTGGCTGGCTACATACCTGGATACGGTGGACGTTCACACCCACTCCCCACCAAGGTGACCTCCGCCCTAAAGAACAGTGGACAGCCACACAGCTCACAGTAGAAAACCAGGAGTGTGCGTCCTGTCAGCTGTTTAAGTCACAGGTGTGTGTTTTTACTTGGCAGGCGGGTGTGCCCCCCCTCCCCTCTGAGTGCACTGGCCCTTCAGAGACTGCGCCCCCCCTCCTCTGCGGCGTGGGCAGAGTTCCTGAACGCCTCAGCTAATGGAAAGATGGAGAGAGACTTTGCCCTGCTGACACTGACAGACGGTGAACAGAGGGAGTTGTACGAAGCTGCCAGGGTCATCCAGAACGCCTTCAGGAGATACAAGGTCCAGAACCTAGTCAGGGATTATGATTTGGTCCGTAATCCAGACAAGTCAACAAGCCAGACTACTGACTGACTGTTGACAAGAAAACAACTCCGACTACTGACTGACTGTTGACAAGGAAACAACTCCGACTACTGACTGACTGTTGACAAGGAAACAACTCCGACTACTGACTGACTGTTAACAAGTCAACAACCCCGACTACTGACTGACTGTTGACAAGTCAACAA